AGCGAACATCTAGCAAGTCAACACATAGATTACTATTTCATCTGTGCTCCTTCACATGAAAACACTTAAATAAAGACAAGATTTTCTTAGTCTTTTCCACAGTTGAAGTTTTGGTATTTTGAATAGTCATTCATATAGCATGAATAGTACAAGAACAGGAAGAGGATAGTACCGAGGTGTTACTCTATCTACAATGTTGGTTTTTTTCTGATCACAGGGTGTCTAGCAACTCGCACAAGAACTATGAGTGCGCGCCCACTCCACCCCATCTATTACGGACCACCGGCACCGGGTCACGTAGAGGGCCCAGTCCCATAACGTGTTCCGGATCCCGGAGGTCAACTATATTGACAAACCTCACGGACCGGTGGGCTGGTTCTGAGAGATCGAAAACCCTTGGACCACCGCATCCTGTCGATTGGTGAGATATTAGCGATCAACGCTATGCGGACTCACAGATGCAAGACAGGCAATTTGATTGTGGGTCCTGAGCTGAGTATTACAGGCCGACGAATCCATGCAGAGAGGGGTGGGAGTCCATCACCGCAATGGATGAATATCGTAGTTGTTGATAACGGCGATTCTTCCAAACACCTGAAAGGCTGGTTCTCGCGGCCATGGTTCTGTCCAGAATATGCTCCAAGTAGGTTGAAGACCGTCAGCTATGGCAATCAGGGCCGGTCACAGGTAATCCATAACACTGTTCGGCTGCCGGCGGAATCAAACCTCAGCAGGGACACTGGCCGATTCGGCTCGTATCATGCTCGGACGCAGTCGGCAAGTGGTCCATTTGATTGATTTGATAGACAAAAGTGAGACGTGGGGATAGACTGATATAGCTGAGTTTGGAATCTATTCATCTGGAAGCAACTGCCGCAAACTCTTAAGTGTGCTCGAACCAGCTGAAAGTCAGGTGATCCGTCCGCTGGGTCACATGAACCGGATATATAATGCTCACCATCCAGCTTCAACGGCTTTGGGTCTCGAATCTCGGACATGGAATCCTGCAACCACCTCGAAATGGATTACGGACCCTTTAACGGATCTGTAGAACGGACTATCCCAGCTTACCTGGTTGATTAGTACAAACCATGGATGGGGCTCCCCAGGTCCGTCGCTTTCAACGAGAGAGCCTCCGTTTCTTGGTGGTCTCAGGGCTGAGACGCTCTTGGTAGGAGAGTCGGCATGTCTTACTCGAAAACCACCACTGGAGGTCGTCGCGCCACTCCACCTCAGACCAACTTTCGCAATCTGATACAATTGGTTGTTCTTTGGCCAAGATGGCGTTCCCTATGCAAGGCCCGTCACCAGTCAACCTGAACCCTAACCACAGCGTAGAAGTCGGGTCGATATTCACAGCTCTTTGTAAGGAGTCAAGTCGGATTTGACCAACACAAGCTGAGGTTCCGTCGGCATAGCGAAGTAGAAGTCCAATAAGGATTGATTTGCCCATGCGTTGGCGACGGCACGGGGCAATCTCAACCACGTCCTTAAGCCTGGCTCTGTTCCAGGCGTAATACTCGTCATGGCGAGAGAGAGGATATGGGGTTGGCCACTCGACTGCTGGTTCCTGACCTCGATATCTAGGTCGATGTGATTGGAAGCCTAGTCTTCGTACACCACAAGCCGTCGTCTCAGCGTAATTGTGGCTTGTGGCCTTGCTAGGCAGGTCAAGAGTCCACTTAGATCGGCTCCAGTGTGGCCGTGGCTGCACTCCTAGACAGGTGGAACGTCCTTGATCCGTTACGAGCTGTGCATTGTGAGCAGACTTCAACATGGAACATGAACGGATCAACACATACTAGTAAGCCGATTGCGGTCCTCAGCTCGCCCTCGAATTTACCATACTTTGTTGGATTGACGACTGTGTCTGCATGAGGGGATGCTAGAAATACATTGAATAATATGCAACAACCGGTTATAATAGGTAAATACAAGACAGAACCCCCCTCGGACCGGGATAGGACGGAATCCCTCAATAAAGCACAACAATCACCCTTTGATCGATGACCTCAGTGGTATTACATTAAATCAACATCTTTTATCTAACAAACATTGCTCTTCTGGTACTATTGCATTGTTTCGGGGCTTAGGCGTCCCTGGTGGGATAGTTGACATTGTCTTTCAGAATACCACCACTCGAGGCCACCGCACCAATCCACCCGAAACCAGATCTCGCGTTTCGATAGGGATGGTGCTTCCCGTAACTGCTCGATACCAGATACGATAGGCCCATCGCTCGTGAGAGAGAATTTGAACCACATCTTGCAATCACGATCAACGCAAATAGGGTTCTGCAGTTGATCTAGCCTTATTTGTCCGACACATGCTTGCTGTCCGTCAATATAACGAAGTAGAAGCCCGCTGATGATTTCACTTCCTTGCCGGCAGCGTCGACATGGAATGATATCCACGACGTCGTCGAGCTTCGCGCTGGTCCAAGCGAAGTATGCATGGCGGCGGGACTTTGGATATGACGAGGTTGGCCACTCAACTCTGGGGCTTGGATTATGATCATCAGGCCTGGGTGACTCGAAGCCCAATAAACTACCCAATGCCGTTTTCATTAAATATATCGTGCTAGGGCTTTTGGTGGGCCGGTCAAGCAGAGTCCATTTCGAGCGGCTCCAGCCTTGCTGTGGCTGCACCCCTAAATAACTCGAGCGCTCCTGGTTTGTGACCAACTCCACGATGTCAGAAATTCATTTGATGCA